GCTACACAACAACATTCAATATTTAGTGTTTACTGCATTTTACACTCAGCTAGATTAACTATAAAGTTCATTCACAGAAAACTGTTGCTCTCACTGTAAGGTGTGTGGGATAGTGATGAAACTGAGCGTGTGCAGCTTTGTTCATGAACACACATTTCCTGAATATGTATATGTGTGCATATTGTCTGAATCCAAAGCTGCTTGACTCCAAAGCCTGTATCTGCTTGCCCTCCAAGATTTCTATTTATAGCTTTGCCTGTTTGGAATTTCATTAGGTGAGTGAACTACTTTCAGGTGTTGTGAAAGTAGTGATAGTAGGCAGCAGGCTTGTTCCTGCTTGTTCCAACCCACACTTGCATCAGGACTCCTATCGGTGTGTGGGTGTCAGGCCGGGTCAAATTCCAGGGAAGCTGCGCTTTGGTGATGCAGCAGAAGACGAGGAAATCCCTGTCACGGTGTCCCGAGCCTGGAAATTCCCTTAAGCCGTGATAAATGTCAATATTTATTCTGAGGATCATCCCAAAGGCTGACTTAACAAAATAAGAGCCTGAAAACCAGAGAAGAAGTCTGAAAGTGCTCAATAATCCAGGATAACTTCAAACTGATCAGCAGGTCAGGAAGTCAAACGCCAACTACAGGATATTATAACATATCTAAAAGAGCTCAATTACATGAAACAATTAAATGTGTTTAATTCTGTTACAGTCTTTTTACCTTTTGAAATATCGTGTTATGTTTTCACCTTTGATTTTCTCTCTTTGCTTTGAAACTTGAAAGTTTCCCTCGGGAACAATGAAGCTTAAAGCTGACTGAAAGCCTGCAGGTTCACACTAAATTTAGCCCCGACACAAAACAAACAACCACGTACACACTCGCTGACTACCAGAGCGCGATGATGACATCCCGCTGGCACGGCTCCGCCACCTCTCCCACACATAATGCAAATGAGCTTTCATCAGCGAGAGACGGGATAAAACAGGTGTGCTCAGACAGGGAGACACCAGCAGCTCTGTGCCAGCAGAGAGTTTACACAGGTGAACAGGAGGAGACGCATTCCAGCTCAGCAGCTTCAGCATGAACGCCAGCGCCATTCTGGTGAGTACGAGCCGTCACCTGGAGAACAGGTGTGCAGATGCTTTGCACGCTCTGAGCTCACCTCACAGTGACAGCCTGCAAACAGCTTTGGACCGCTCATTACTACACAAACCTGTGTGATGTGTGTGTACAGAGAAAGCGTTTTCATTGAGCTTCTTTTGGAGGGACGTTGGAGACAGATCAGTCAAAGCCTCTGATCGTGTCCTTGTGTCAAAATGTGTGTTTGTCTTTCCAGCTCTTCCTGGGACTGATGGGGACAGCGTTCAGCAGCCCGGTTTGTCCTCAAAACTGCAACCACGCTCAGCACTATCACAGGCAGTACTTCACTCATGTGTCCGACCTCCAAGAGTCTTCAGCCGCGCCCTGGAAACTACAGTGAGTTTACTTACTTAAAGCCAGAAAAGAAGACAGATTTAGGCTTTATTGATCACACAAATACAGCTGTAGATATACGACTGGTGCTTCAGGAGTGTAAGGATGCACGTAGCTTTCAGTGGGGGCCACTCTAAACTGTCCTCATGACTTCATGGTCTCAGTCGCTGGTTTCAGGTCTTACTGAATAAAACACAATGTTCATTTTGTAAATTATGATTTCATTACCGTCACAAATGAGCAGGAAGTCGTGGAGGATTGCTGGGTAATGCCCTGTCAGTCCAAACTTGCTGCAGACTTTATGCCACCCAGCCATAAAAACTGGATTTCAACATTTTAGCAGAGGAAAGGTTGGACACAGTGCTGGGACGAGCACATGTTAGAGCTAAAATTCACAGGCTTTTGAGTCCAGCGTGAGCAGATCTTAATGTCTGACACTGTCACACCTGAACACCTCCGTTTATCCGTGGACTTTGTTTTCCTGTGTTTCAGAAAAAACTCTAAAGAAGGCCGAGAACCACAGACGATCATGGAGGCCAAATGCATGCCTTGCAGTGTGGAGAACATGGTGGCCAAACCAATCTTCATACAGATTCAGGTGTACGAGACAACACCGCATGGGTATTGCAGCTGTCCGTTCGATCTGGCGGTCGGATGCACCTGTGTCGCGAGTAAATGACGGCCGGACGCCAGGCTGTGCTGAATGTGCCGTAACAACCTGCTTTGAGTTACTGGGTGTGCCTATATTGAATGTATTTATTTGTAACTAGGAAATACTGTTTATCAGGTTATATATGAGTGTGCATGTAAAATGCGACCAAGTCCTCGTTTTTTGAACTTACCTATATGTCAATGACATGTTTGTTTACATGAGATAAAACTTCATGAATTTTGTGGCAGTGTTGCTCATTTCAAAGCAACCTGAATCCTTTTTTATAGAAAGATTCAGTGTACTGATCTGTTCAATGTGCATCTGAATATCACATTTTATTCTTTACATGCATCATGTAATATGCAGTAACTTGATAATATCAGAGTCATTTCAGAATATTTCTGGTCAGTACCAATGTGAAAATGTTTGTTTATCAAAATGCTGGATTTTTATGTACCTAAACTATTAAAGCCTCGTATTCATCAAAGGATTTGTAGTGCACTAAATGTGTTTTAATTGCTGATGCCTGGTTTTACACATAAGCACAGTGCTAATAGACAAAGCAATGAAAGTGTAGATATAGCGTTATATAATAATATTGGCAATATGAAAACCCAGATTTGAACAAGATCAGGTGGGTTTAAAAACATCGATTTTCTGATTCTAATTGATTTTAGTTTGAATAACGTGATATCAATTCATTAAATCCTGAATTGATTTTGATATAAAATATATTTTGCTCACAAAAGTATTTCAACAATTGCCAAACAGCTGAAACAGCAACAATTCTCCAAAAAGATGCAAACATTCACCCGGCAGCATGTACACGGACGTCTCACGGACTCTGAAGCTGCAGTTTCGTCCTTCTCAGACCACAATTCACTGAACCAGCAGCAAAACACGGTATTACCTATTAGTATATAGGTTTTTAAAAAGTTGTATTTCACAGGAGAGAACCTGTGCTCAAAGAAAACTACTCAGATTCTCTTTGTATTTAAGCATTTTGTGTTTATTCTCCATTTACTTCATTATATTGCATAAACGTCTGTTACAAGCTTAAATATAAAGTTTAAAAAAATGCAACCAGGTTACTGATCAAGTAACTGATTAATCATGATTAATTGCAGAAAATTGTGATATTAATTATTTACTTTTCTTATTGACAGCACTAATATATACATGAACAAAAATCCACTCTTGAACGTAGTCGGTATCCGTAGCCAGTCTTGTCAATGATCTCACTGAGGGGGTTCAGGCCTATGCAGAACAGCAGTGGGGACAGAGCATCTCCTTGGCAGATCCCA